GAGGCTGAGGCAGAAGGATTGCTTGAGCCCAGGAGTTTGAGGTTGCTGTGAGCTAGGCTGATGCCACGGCACTCTAGCCCGGGCAACAGAGCAAGACTCTGTCTCAAAAAAAAAAACAAAAACTTGTATGTGTTAGTCACATCTGTCAAATTTTAAATTTATATTATGCAAAAAACATAAAAATACTACGTATCAGCAACAGTATTACCTATAGCCACAGAAGCCCCAGAATACAAACTCTTAATCTAAATAAATATTCCATTAGATTGATATTTGTTAGCAAATATGACCAAGAATACTATCTTTATTATACAAAGAACATGTATAAATTGATGGTAAAAATTTCAGAGCGCATTTAAATAAGTTAGCTAATGACATTAAGGCACAGTGTTCAAGAGGAAAAACAAAAAACTGGCATGGAAAAATGTATTTTCTTACTAGTAAAAACCAAAACATTTTAAAAATAAATAAAATTTGATGTCGTTGTCACCCATTAGGCATTTAAGAAGCTTAAAAAAGAGAATCTTAAAAAGTAAAAAAATGGGGGAATATATTGTAGATGTCTATATCTAGTGATCATTTAAGCTGCTAATAGCCTTTTTTGAATCCATTTGCTGGCATGGGTATAGTACTCATACACATTTAATACATGTGAAAGTGTTTAGACTCTTAGATGCAAGAACCTTTCTGTACTGAAGATAAATGAAAAAGTTTCCACAAAGATAGTGCTATTTTTAATAGAACAGACTGTAAACTAAATGTTCACAGTTTATATAATAGTGTTAGGAAAATTTTATGTTATGAATAGTATGTATTATGTACTGATTAAGAGATAAGTTTGAGTTCAGGCTCTGTAAGTTATTAGCTCTGTGACCTTAATAGACTGATTTAACTTTTTTTGTCTCAGTATGTTCAGCTGTAAATCTGAGATAATAAAACCCACCTCATAGGATTTGTTGTGTGGATTAAATGAGTTGTAGTATTTTTAAAGCACATAAAAGGGTTCTTGGCTCATAAATGGCTCAGTATGTGATAGTGACAGATAACATGTAAACATTCTTATACAGTTGTTAATTGAAATAAATCATGATATACAATTATTATGCATAAATACTGATTTGTATAATTGAATATAAATTCTCATTAACAAAAACTGGAAGGAACCAATCCTGTTAGGGCAGTTTGCCCTGTGTCCACCTAATATTTTCTATCATGTACTTTAATTTGTAGTAAAATATAATAATTTGCTGGGTGCAGTGGCTCACGCCTATAGTTCTAGCACTCTGGGAGGCCAAGGTGGGAGGATTGCTTGAACTCAGGAGTTTGAGACCAGCCTCAGCAAGAGCAAGTCCCCGTCTTTACAAAAAATAGAAAAAAGTAGCCGGGCATGGTAGTGTGCGCTTGTGGTCCCACTTGCTTGGGAGGCTGAGGCAGGAGGATTGCTTGAGCCCAGGAGTTTGAGGTTGGAGTGAGCTGTGATGACGCCACTGCACTCTGGCTGGGCAACAAAGTGAGACTCTGTCTCACAAAAAAAACCCCACAACTTTAATTAAAGAAAATACAATGTTATGCATTCAGCTAGAGAGAGTTAAGAAATACCTAGAAACCCTTTGCTGTGAAAATACAGCTGTGTCAGGTGCCTCTCTATGACACCAATTGCAATTTTTGCCTCTTCGTTCTTCCGTCCAGTCACCTCAAGGGTAATATCTACAGCTACAGCTTGGTGCCTAGAATATTGTTAGATGCTTAGAAAATATTTGTTAAATGAATTGCTTATTGGCTCTTATAGATTAATAGTAGATCAGTCTGGTCTTAGTCTGTTACAATTTAAATATCTGTGGATATGTTTTTTTATTTTAAAAGATAAGGTTACTTGTTATAAAATTGAGATTAGTTTGTGTGACTTTATCAAGTGTCTCCTGTGTTCTAAGCAAACCAGTGGATAAACAGAAGGGAAAGGAGGCATGCCAACTTAACACTGGGAATACTTTGGGGCATGGGATTATTAGGATCTCTTATTTTCATTTATATGAGAATATAAATTATAGTGAACACGGATTTTAAATTTGATAAAGGACAAAAATACTTTAATTCAAAATTTATTTTTCATGTAAACTAGGTACTTTAAGTTCTTTGTATTTGGGTTATAGGAAATTTTAGTTTATTTATAATTTATTCAATTTTCCTTAGTAATTACATTATGTTTTACTT